TCTCTCTATCTGTCTGTCTGTCTGTCTGTCTGTCTGTCTGTCTGTCTGTCTGTCTGTCTGTCTGTCTGTCTGTCTGTCTGTCTGTCTGTCTGTCTGTCTGTCTGTCTGTCTGGCTGTCTGTCTGTCTGTCTGGCTGTCTGTCTGTCTGTCTGTCTGTCTGTCTGTCTGTCTGTCTGTCTGTCTGTCTGTCTGTCTGTCTGTCTGTCTGTCTATCTATCTGTCTATCTATCTGTCTATCTATCTATCTATCTATCTATCTATCTATCTATCTATCTATCTATCTATCTATCTATCTATCTATCTATCTATCTATCTATCTATCTGTCTGTCTGTCTGTCTGTCTATCTATCTATCTATCTATCTATCTATCTATCTGTCTGTCTGTCTGTCTGTCTGTCTGTCTGTCTGTCTGTCTGTCTGTCTGTCTGTCTGTCTGTCTGTCTGTCTGTCTATCTATCTGTCTATCTATCTGTCTATCTATCTATCTATCTATCTATCTATCTATCTATCTATCTATCTATCTATCTATCTATCTATCTATCTATCTATCTATCTATCTATCTATCTATCTATCTATCTATCTATCTATCTATCTATCTATCTATCTATCTATCTGTCTGTCTGTCTGTCTGTCTGTCTGTCTGTCTGTCTGTCTGTCTGTCTGTCTGTCTGTCTGTCTGTCTGTCTGTCTGTCTGTCTGTCTGTCTGTCTGTCTGTCTGTCTGTCTGTCTGTCTGTCTTGTCTGTCTGTCTGTTTGTAAGTCTATCTGTCTATCTGTCTGTCTGTCTGTCTGTCTGTCTGTCTGTCTGTCTGTCTGTCTGTCTGTCTGTCTGTCTGTCTGTCTGTCTGTCTGTCTGTCTGTCTGTCTGTCTGTCTGTCTATCTGTCTGTCTGTCTGTCTATCTATCTATCTATCTATCTATCTATCTATCTATCTATCTATCTATCTATCTATCTATCTATCTATCTATCTATCTATCTATCTATCTATTACCCGTGTTTATTTGCAACACAATAACTTCTCAATCAATGAATGATTCCAGCTAAAGACGAAATTTTGATCTAGACAAGAAGAAAGAAATCCATTACCACAGCTGGAAAGAGCATCTTAAAATGAGTAAAATTCCAAAGTTTGGTTATGCATTATTGCAAATTGAGAACAATATAACCCTGTAAATATATTTGCATCACGCGCGGGAAAACAACCATTTTTGAGCCGAAAGTGAATTTCACAGGGCTATATTTTCTTCATTTTACAACATATAGCATCCAATCGTTGCAGTTTTACTCATTCTATAACGCTGTTTCTAGCTGTGGTGTTGGATTTCGTCTTTCTTGCCTTCATCAAAATTTCATCTATAGCTGGAATCATCCATTCTTATTTCCAAATCCTCCAAATCCTCCATTCTTCCATACACAATCATTAGTATCCAATGATTTTATTTGACTATTTAGCAAAGTGGTCTATAAATGAAGTTTTCATTTTCTCATTCAAGCCTTCAGTGTTTATCTACTTGAGTTGAAACTCCATAAGACCTACCTCTTGACGATGTCTTCGTTTCCTGAGTTGAAAGAAAACTACCATGGCAACGATAAGAAGTACCACGATCACGATGACAACAACAACAACAATAACCACCGCTGAAAATAATTTCAATTCTAATGGTTAATCTAAAATATTATT